CACAAGAATGAAAGCTGGAAAAAAGGCTACTATAACCAGGAAGGGAATAAAGAAACAGATACTAAACTTTGACTTGAAAATACTTCACGCAAAGTCCCAAAGTGAGACTTCGTGCAAGATTCCCTACAGTTTATTTTGCTGTTTCAAATCTTTCAACATTCTTCGACCAACTGCAAGGGATCGTGATACCTGTTTATGTAGAATATGCCAGAATATCAACTTCAAGTTACAAAAAGGTTTTCAAGAGAGGGTACTAAACACAAAGGAAGTTGAGGAAGTTCTACAAAGTTTACCTGTGATATCGAAAAGAAAGAGTGCATGTACCGAGAGTTTAGAGTTTGCAGCAGTAGAGAAGTAGCGTTTGACCAGAATAATCACTTGGGAAATGAGGTTTCCTGGTTTACCCGGAAAACCAAGCAAGTGGACAAGGAGATCACGATGAATGGAAATGCAATGGAATTGTCTTAAGCATAACCACCGGTCACAGTAGCCTAGTGGTAGGGCGCTCGCTTCGTGATTGGGAGGCCCGGGTTCGATTCTCGTTCGCCGCATAGCGTCAAACATAAGACGTAAACATAGGTTAGTGACTGTTCCTTCGCCAAGCTCCCGGCACTAGAAATGAAAGTCACGGGTCTTTCGGATGAGACCTTAACAACCGTGGGCGTGTGCATGATAAAAATCCCTCACTGCTCAATGGCCCTGAGTGCCGAGTATAGTTCTAAATTTGAAGCCCTTAACCGGTGACGTCTCTATATGAGTGAAAAATTCTTGAATGGGACGTTAAACAACATTCAATCCAATTAAATCTTTAGCATAACCCAGCAGGCATATGGGCACACATGCATCCTGTATTGGAATGCTTGACAAATGAAACGAATGCCACTGTTGTACATATAATAAGCGATGGTCCGACGACGCAGTATCGTAACAAGCCGAATTTCTACTTGCTAGCTAAGAGTCTTCAGTTATGGCTTCGAATCCGCCATTTTGAATTTCTTGGAAGCAGGACATGGGAAGGGGGCAGCTGACGTTGATGGTGCAGTTTTGAAGAGAACAGCGGATGCCTTTGTAAACAGTGTATACATATAGTACACTGCACAGCGCAAAACAGCGACTGGGTCTTACTGACGTCATAAACAAAGGAAAATAAGCGACATATTCGTGATCAAGTAATTTTGATCGACTCTGCTGCAGCTACCTTGCATAATAATCCAAAATATATATACAGGCTTATTAAAGTAGCTCAGATGAATTCGTTTCCGTATAATGCTCAGGACTTCGTTTCGTATGACCTTTAAACAAGGGACAAATTCTCTCAAATAGCTTGTTTTTTTGATTTTGATGAACTGTCTTGAAAAGGTACATGTAACTAACAATAGAAATTGGTGAAATTCATTTGAAAGGCTATTATTGCCCGCGTTACTTTGGTAAGAGCATTTGCTCTAGAATCGCGTAATAAGGTGTTGGTCCTTACGGCGCGGGTTCGAATCACACTGCGGGACACTGAGACCGGTCGTTCGGATGAAACCGTATGAACCAAGGTCCCGTGTCGCAGTAGGTGCTGGCACGAAAAATATCCCCCACTACTGAATGGCCCTGCGTGCCGAACATACATGTAGGTCTTAGTTTGCAGCCCTCCACCGGCAGGTCTATCTATCTATCAGACGTTGCTTTTACTTATAACAAAGGAAGAGAAAAGTAGCACTTGCACTCGAAACTATGCAACTTCAATAATAGAACAATGATCCTTAGTTAAGTCTTTTTGTGGTAAGATTTATTGATATACTTACTAAAACTGTTTGAGGAGTTTTTTGGTTTGTTGTTTAAACGTTCCTCTCGAGAAATTTTAACTCGTATGGAGACGCTACCTCTTGCCGGTGGAGGTTGAGAATTAAGACCTATGCTCGACACTCCGGACCATTGAGAATTGAGGGATATATGGTGACGTCGCCATAGAAGTGAAAAAATTCTCGAACGGGAAAACAACATACAATCAATCAATCGTCGTCGTCTTGAATTGGTGACCATTAAAATTTAAAAAAATGAAGTTTGTAAAGATTAAGTGAAATGTTTATTTGCTGGATGATAAGAAATCTACTTAAGAATATTTTCTGTTGCGACAATGTATACATTCACGTTTTTACGTAACACGCTCCCTTGCAAAGATGCTCCGGTGTGCAGTGCCTTTTTATTGCCGTTGCTTTATCTTGTATGGGAATAGGTTAAGGTGCACCGACTCTTACATTTTAGATTGATAAAGCAATTTTGAAATACTAACTAATAAAATACACATCCATTGTATAAAATGAAACTAAAATCATGTAATTATTGACTTATAATTTGCACCTAATAAACTCAAAATTTACAACATTACACAATACTAATTATTTACAAAAACCCGTAAAATCATTTTGTTTTAACTTTAGTGCAAAAAAAAAGTTTTAACTTTAATGCAACAAAACAAAACAAAACAAAACTCATTGCATTTTACTATTACCACCTTTAGACCATTAAAAGTTGTAATATAAAATTTCTTTGCAAAAGCTCAAAGGATTTTTGTAATATATTCATAGGTCGCCTGAGTCACTCAGGTGACCTATTGATATCCGTCGTCGTGCGTTAAGATTTGAACATTTTCGGCTTCTTCTCTGCAACCTCTGAACCAATTTCAACCAATTTTGGCATAGAACATATTTGAGTGAAGGTAAACAAAAATTGTGAATTTCATGACCTCTACCCCCCTGGGGCCATAGGGGTGGGGCCTAAACTATCAAAATGAGTGCAATCTTTAAAAATCTTCTTTACTCCTGGACGTCAAGAAGTCAAACTGTTGGCATGATTGTAATAAGCATTGAGCCCACTACCAAAATTGTGAAATTCTTTGCCCCAGGGCCAGGAGTTCTGGAGTTGGGTGGGGCTCTACTGATCATAAAGTGAAAATGCATTCTTTAAAAATCTTCTTCTCTCACCCTGTATATAAAGTAGATAAACTAGGTGCATGGGTATAATGATAAAGGATGCTTCTTCCAAAATTGTGAAATTTGTGGCCCAATTAAGGGTGATGGGTTCTAGTGAAAGTGTATTATTTCTTTCATAATCCTCTTCTCTGCTCCTAGGTATTTAGCCGATAAAGCAAGTATATAGTGTTGATGAGCAAGGGCACCTCTTTTAATATTGTGAATATCTTGGCCCCTGGGTCAGGGGTTCTAATGTTAGGGCAGGGCTCTATTGATCATATATTATATTGATATAGTGAGAATGCATAAATCCTAAAAAAAAATCTTCTTCCCCCTGTATAAAAAGAAGATAAAATAGGTACATGGTTAAGATCATCAAGGGTGCCTCTTCCAAAATTGTAAAAATTGTGGCCCCAGGGTGATGGGTTCAGCAGCAGGGGGCGGGGGTTCTATTGATTGTATAGTGAAAGTGCATTTTTCATTTGAAAATCTTCTTCCCTGCTCCAAGGTATTTACTAGTTATTATGAGCAAGGGCGCTTCTTCCAATATTCTGAATATTTTGACCCCTGTGACAGGGGTTCTGGTGTTAGGGCAGGGCTCTATTGATCATACAGTGAAAATGCATAAATTCTTTAAAAATCTTCTTCCCCCCCCCCCATACTTGTATATAAAGCAGATAAACTAGGTGCATGGTTATGATGATCAAGGGTGCCTCTTCCAAAATTGTAAAATTTGTGGCCCTAGGGTAAGAGGTCCTGCCGGAGGGGGGGGGGGTCTATTGATTATATAGTGAAAGTGCATCATTTCTTTGAAAATCTTCTCTGCTCATAGGTATTTAGCAGCTAAAGCAAAATATAGTTGTGATGAGCAAGGGCGCCACTTCCAAAATTGTGAATATCTTGGCCCCTGGGTCAGGGGTTCTGGTATTGGGGCTGCACTCTATTGATAAAATAGTGAAAATGTATAAATTCTTTAAAAATCTGCTTCTGTCCGTCTGTATATAAAGCAGATAAACTAGGTGCATGGTTATGATGATGATCAAATGTGCCTCTTCCAAAATTGTAAAATTAGTGACCCCAGGCTGAGAGGTTCTGCCGGAGGGGGGGGGGGGTCAATCGATGATAGAGTGAAAGTGCATTGTTTCTTTGAAAATCTTCTCTGCTCCTAGGTATTTAGCAGATAAACCAAATATATAGTTATGATGAGCAAGGGCGCATCTTCCAAAATTGCGAATATCTTGGCCCCTTGGTCAGGGTTCTGGTATTAGGGTGGGATCTTTTTAATATATAATGAAATTGCATTAATTCTTTGAAAATCTTCTATGCTCATGGGTATTTATTTAGCAGATAAATAAAGTACATGGTTATGATGATCAACGATGCCTCTTCCAAAAGTGTAAAATTTATGGCCCCAGGGTCAGGGTATCACGTCGGGGGAGGGGGCCTATTTAATATTACATATTATAGTGGAAATGCATTTTTTTTTTAAAAAAAAAACCTTCTTCTCTGCCCCTGGGTATTTAACAGAAAAACTAATTGCATGGTTATGACGAGCAAGGAAATCTTTTCAAAAAGTTTGAAATTCATAACCCCGGAGTCAGAGACTTATTTGGAGTTAGGGTGAGGCTCTTTTGAATGTATAGTAGAAATGCATTATTTCCTTGAAAATCTTCTTCTCTGCCCATTGTTATTAAGGAAACATACTAGGTGCATGGTTATGATGAGCAAAAGTGCCGCTTCCAAAAATTGTGAATATCTTTGCCCCTAGGTCATGGGCTTTGGTATTAGGGTGGGGCTATGTTGAATCTATAGTGAAAATGGATTATTTCCTTGAAAACCTTCTTCTCTGCTCCCGGGCATCTAGGAGGCAACTAGAGTATATATAGCAGTAATAAGCAAGGTTTTTTTTTAACCAGATTTTGATATCCTTTACCCCTTGGTCAATTTATTAATTTCTACTGTAAGTTATTCCCCTTTGCTATTCACCCATAAAAGTTAATCACTGTAAATAATGTAACTTAAAAGGTCAATTGAATAACACAGTTATGCAAGAAATTTTATAATATTTAATACAAAAATACTTTCAAAGTTTTAAATGATCAGGTAGACTTTTAAATACATGTAATAGACACATGAAGATGAGACAAAATACCATATCTTTGTACAATATATAATCTTCAAAGACTAAGAGAGGCAAATGCGAGGGGAATGTAATGTGTTAACTAATAGTGCTCTAGAACTATTTTATTTAGTCCGCATGAGAATAGTGACAAATGGGGGAAAGCACAGGCAAATAAATAGATCAACTTTAAGATTTGTTATTGAGTACTAAATTAATATTTTGTTAATCTCTGATCATCCTATTTCTCTTGCTTTTGGGCAACATAGCTTTATTTCTCAGCTTATTTGATGTCACAAGGTCAAGTGACTTGACCTTTGAACATCAAAAAACTTTTTTAGGCCATAGGGAGTTGTGATACATGTATTTAATTTCATTACAGAAGCTCAAAGGCTTCTTGAGATATCGTCTAGAAACGAAAGTGTTTTACAGAAAGAATGACAGACAGACAGAATGACGGAAAGACAGACCCACTTTTAGTGAAAGCGGAGGACAAAAATATACAAAGCAAACTGAACATCAAAATTCTTTGAATGAGTTTAGAGTTGAATAATTTACAAAGTGGTAAAACTATTTGGGGCTGCCAAATAATTTTTCCTGCGAGTTCCCACAGCTTGGCAAGTGTACGTTAAAATACATAATTATTTTTAAATGGTCAAAAGAATTAAAATCCAATTATGAAACTGGTGATCAACTTGTTTCGTGTTGACGAGGATTTGGAAAGGGGGGGGGGGGTTAATCACATTGACTTAACCGGAGTACTTCAAGTCCGTTGCAATCAGCAGAGAGTCCTGAAACAGTAGTACAATGAGCAAAATAAGAATTGTAAAACTGAAAGTGTAGAAAGAATATATTTTTATACAAGGGTGCAGAAAGAATATATTTTACAAAGGCTTACCTTTTGTAATTTTAGCTGTGTGTTCACAAATTGAACAGACGCAATAATTGGTAATGGGAAGCCATTTTTTCCAAGTTCTAAAATATTCTTGATTTAATTTAAATACATAATGATGCAAAGAAAAAAATCAGTATCTCTGAGAAAAAAATTAAATCATTTTCTTCGCAGTTAAATAGTGAGAAGTCACGTATCAAAATCATCTATAGCAAAGTTAGAACTTTCTCAAATGCAAATCGAATATGTTGGTACTCAAAGTAAGCTCTTGTTTCGAGGAATATACCTGTGAAATATGAAAGCCCTAGCAGCAACCATTGAATAGATATGGAAAAGGTTAGATACGGGGCATAATAACTGAAATTTAATTTTACCATTGAGCTTCGGTTCCACAAATACAGTCACTATTTTCTGTACAATGAAGTTCAACATGGCATCCTAGAGAAGTAATTTTATACAAGTTTGTATTCAAAAAGAAATTTCTCTTCCAGTTGTTAGCTATAGACATTAAATACATAATATCTTAACTTACACTCAGTGTTCCAATTTTTGATTCCTTAACCTTTATCTTGATTCTGAAATTATTATGAAGTCAAATTATTTTTTCAAAAATAACTTCAGGTTAACATTTCAGCTTACTAATTCCTGATGAGTTACATCTACATGTATTTCGCCAAATTAATATTCAAAATGATTAAAATTTTTTGCATCATTCCGAATTTGCAGCAAGTAAATTTTCTATGATTATACACTTTCTATCATCGCCTCATACATAAACATCTGTCGTTGGCTCGCATATATCACATTTATAAGCACGAGAAATAGTGCGTTTGCTTTTAATTCACTGCTTTAAAGGTAGATATTTCCTAAATAGAACTAGTTTGAAATAATCTTTGGAATATCATGTATTTTTACTTTATGTCAAAAATTTTCACGCGAGCTCATTGCGAAGGCGATTGAGAGAGGAACGAACGACAACTCTGCATAGGAGATTGATGATTATGAAGAACAACTTACGGAAGTTTGAGCACTTTAGCGTACACCTTTTCGTTCTTAACTGCGATAGATATTGTTGTTGACATGTTCTGCAAAACAGAATAACACTTAATTATTCACCATCAATTTCAAATTAAAGGAGAAAGTCAAGAGACTCTTATCTCAACTTAGCGAATCAATCAAAATTAATGCTCTTCAAACTCGTGCACAATAAGAATGCAATTAAATAAACTAATAAGTACATGGCCATGGGACAATACGAATCAAGCTTATAACCAGGGTTGGGGTCAATTACTTTGAAATGTAATCAAGTACTTTCAAATACATTTATAATTTTATCACTTACTTGCAATTACAGTGACATTGATTTTAACAGATGTAATTAATTATACTCTCAAGTACATGTACTTTGAAGAATGTAATTAAATACATATCAATTACTTTAGTTTTATTTCCAAAAAATTGAAGAAGTACATGAATATTTTGAAGCAGCAATATTATTGAATTTTACCTTTCCTATTGCCTGGGCAGTGTGTTAATGCTGTATAAACATTATTATGCATTTAATTATTGAATAAACACAAACTCATGCCAAACAGTACTGATATGCATCATGATAAAACATCTTTTTTTAATATGTAACTTGAAAAATAAAGTATTTGAAATGTAATTGAAAAAAACAAAATTTTTAACATTTTTGGAATGTATTTAAATACGTTCAATTCAATTACTTGTAATTGAAAGCAAATTCAATTACACTTTCAATTACTTTGAAACAGTAAATTACAATTACTCATTTCAATTACCCCATCCCTGCTTATAACACAAATCATGAGATATAGAACTGCATGGAGTAACCAGATAAACGTCATATGCAAATATAAGTATAGAAAGGGTACAACTTACGGCAGACAATGTCAGAAAGTACACATCTTTATTATTTGGTGTCATGGCATATAATTTAATATCACCAACTGCCTCAACTTTTGTTGTTCCATTGGAAACGGTCATATTTGGCATGGCAGTACTTCGAAGATTTAACATTACTTTTGAATTAGGGAACATTTTTCCAATCTGTTCATAAAATTTATAAATTAGATATGAAAGAACTTTTTTAACGGATGCCTATTTGGAAGACATATATCGAAAATGTATTGGAGTATACAGTCATGTACATGTACCTGTGGAATTAGGTTACCAATACACGTCAATTTACACGTAGTATTTAAAACATCTCCTGGAATCTGCAAGACATAATTACAATAAATTCCAAACGTACATTCTTAAATGATTAATCTCAAAGTTTTTTAAGTATATCCTACGTTTTTATCGGTGACATTGTATTTTAGCATGTCGTGAGAGAAAGCGCTGTAAGACATAGTATTGAACAGATAATCGGACAACCAGATGTAAAGCATTCTGGAGGTATCAGTGCCCGTCGGCAGTTGGGGCGCAATAATAGGAGTGTTCTTTGGTCCTTGAAGCCAATCTACTTCTCCCTAGAAAGAAAAATATTATTTTTATTCATTTTGTTAAATGGAAGATTTTGAAGTTTTCGAAAGCCCTGCATGTATTCAAAATCCTCTTAACATGTGGAATAATTCTAGAGAAATAAAACGTATTCCTTTATTTTTAATCTTAATTCGCATATGTGCTTCATTTTAACTAATACTTCGTAACACGTTTTCAAACCAAGTAAAGTAAACAATTGCCATCAGCCGTCGTAGGTATATCATAAAATTCCTGATATATATATATATATATATATATATATATATATATATATATATATATATATATATATATATATATATATATATATATATATATTATTACATAAATATGATATTGAGAACATCTGGACTTTTTATACTGGGTAAGACTGCAGAACGTGACAGGATGTTCATAATTACTTCCAATTTTGTTGATTAACACGAAGATCACACATGGGGAAAAGAAAACGAAATTACGAGTAAAAAGTCTGGTTTAGGTGTGTAACTAGTTCTGCTTTAAATCATATAAATGTTGTAAAAGTATTTACATAATTATGTAACTGTAGAGTGGACCAAAATATCATACCTTGTGAAATGTTTCCATGAAGTTGGTTTGAAATGACGGTTTAGAAAGGAAACTGTAGTCTAAGAGAAACTTCTTAGCTAATTTCACTTCCACTAAAGTAGGATTGATAGATGGTGAAAAAAATACACATGAAATATATATCAATAAAATGTGCTAATTTACTACAAGTGATTTTTGTTAGCTCATCTGAGCTGTAATTTAAGTGAGCTTTTCTAATCACCCATTGTCCGGCGGCCGTCTGTCTGTTCGTCTGTAAAATTCCACATTTTTAATCACTAGACCCGATTTTTACCCAAACTGAATATTGGCACTTAGCATCCTTGGGTGAAGGGAATTCTTAATCGTTCAAATGAAGGGTGATTCTCCCTTCTAAAGGGGATGAGGAAAGGGAAACACGTTGGGGTCATTAAAATCTTCTCAAGAACAATTGGCCAGAAAAGATAAAAACTTTTGTGATTACTTTCTGACAGTGTTGATAATACATTGTTCAAATCATTACCCCTGGCATAGGGTTGGTCGCAATAGGGGAACTAAGTTTTATATGTACATGTAAATATGATGAAAAATATCGCAAGTATATGTACGAATATTCTCCTCCAGAACCACTGAGCTATAAAGGATAAAACTTTAATTTTTGTGAAAGCTTTTTGACAAAGAAACAATTCTAAAATGTTCAAATCACAGCACCCCCCCCCCTTCGCCTGAATAGGTGGGGCTAAATTAGATCAAAGTTTTGCATGGGAATATTCTGGGAAAAAGCTTTTAAAATCTTAATAACAGCAAGGTCTTGATTAATTGTATTTATATGTAAGCAAATTTTGAGATTGACATTCAAATGTTCAAAACATAGCCCTCGGGGTAGGGTTGGGTCACAGTAGGGATGAGAGATTTACAAGGAAATATATTGGGAAAAATCTTTTAAAATCTTCTTAAGAACAGCAGGATCATGATTATTTTTATTTATATGCACGCAAACATAGCGCTCAGGGTAGGGTTGGGCAAAAAGGGGATCAGACTAACATAAGAATATACATAAAATTTATATAACTATTTTTAAAAATATCATGACCGTACTCCATCATTTTAATGTGCAAATGTTCCTGTGATATGATTTTCGTGATCTATGAGGAAGATTGAAGAAGGAATAAGAAGAAAGTTTCGGGACTTTAGCCTTTGCATCCTTAAATTAATTTCCTTAAACAGAAAATTAATTCATACTTTGTTTATCGTTAATGGCGATTTCCTTTTTGATTTTTTTTATTCAAATTTTGTTGCAATTCTTGGTTTTGGCATCGTTCTTTGGCTGCCAAGCTTTGAATGGATTAAAACCTGGATGTTTTTTAAATGATTTAATCCTGATTTTGAAATAATTCATGACTTTGACATACCCTACAAGAATCTACTATATTTTACTATAGTTGACTATAATAGAACTTGATTTACTGTAAAAGTTCACGATGGATTTTTCTTGATTTTTCGAAAATCAAAATCTCTTAAATTTAATAAAGCTAAATGTAAAATTGAGAAAAAGTGTGAATACCCGTATACATGTAAAATTTCCATAAAATAGAGAAAATGTGCATTATGAATTGTAGAACTTAAAATATAACAATCTGAAATTCATAGTAAACAAGAAGTCTGTGAGCGGATGCTCACTAGTAATACCCCCGCTCTGATGTGAATATATGGTTACCCTCTCATGTTGACATCGAATTCGTACAAAAATGAATCCCACCATCTGGCATGCCTAAACAAAGATTGTGCTAAAATTTCAAGCATCTTCGCTGAGTAGTTGCTGAGAAAACTGTGACAGGAATTTGGTACGGACAGATGCATGAATAAACAGGAAGTTGACGTCAGATTTAAACAAAAATGAATCCCATCATGTGGCATGCCCAAACAAAGAGTGTGCTAAAATTTCAAGCATCTGTGATGAGTAGTCGCTGAGAAAACTGCGACGAAAAATTTGTTATGGACAGACGCACGGATAAACAGGAAGTTGATATCTAATTCATATAGAAATAAATCCCACCATTTGACATGCCTAAACAAAGATTAAGCTAAAATTGGTACGGACAGACGCACGGATAAACAGGAAGATGACATCGGATTCGAACAAAAATAAATCCGACCATATGGCATGCCTAAACAAAGATTGTGCTAAAATTTCAAGCATCTGCGCTGAGTAGTTGCTGAGAAAACTGTGACGGGAATTTGGTACTTACAGATGCACGAATAAACAGGAAGTTGACGTCAGATTTAAACAAAAATGAATCCCACCATATGGTATGCCCAAACAAAGAGTGTGCTAAAATTTCAAGCATCTGTGATGAGTAGTCGCTGAGAAAACTGCAACGAAAAATTTGTTATGGACAGACGCACAGATAAACAGGAAGTCGATATCTTATTCATATAAAAATAAATCCCACCATTTGACATGCCTAAACAAAGATTAAGCTAAAATTGTTACGGACAGACGCACGGAAAAACAGGAAGATGACATCGGATTCGAACAAAAATAAATCCGACCATATGGCATGCCTAAATAAAGATTGTGCTAAAATTTCAAGCATCTGCGCTGAGTAGTTGCTGAGAAAACTGCGACCAAAATTTGTTATGTATGGTACGGATTAACAGGAAGATGACATCAGATTTGAACAAAAATGAATCCGACCATATGGCATGCCAAAACAAAGATTGTGCTAAAATTTCAAGCATCTGCGCTGAGTAGTTGCTGAGAAAACTGCGACCAAAATTTGTTATGTATGGTACGGACAGACGCACGGATTAACAGGAAGATGACATCAGATTTGAACAAAAATGAATCCGACCATATGGCATACCAAAACAAAGATTGTGCTAAAATTTCAGGCATCTGTGAGGAGTAGTTGCTGAGAAAACTGCGACGAAAATTTGTTACGGACAGACACACGGACAGACACACAAGGGTAAAACAGTATACCCCCTCTACTTCGGAGCGGGGGTATAATTACTTCGATTCACGATTATTGTAAAAATTGTATAATAGTAAAACTTTGACACTATAGTAAATTATAGTTATATGTCACTATATCAAACTACAGTCAACTATATTTTTGTTAGGGTGTGATTATTTCTCAAATATCAAGGTCACTGGAAATTTTAGTTATGATTGATTGATTGATTAATTATTGCTAAACGCCGAGTCGGCAATATCTCAGCCATATGTCGGCAGTTGTACAGTGGTTATGAAACACATCTTAATTTGTAACAGAAAAAATATACATGCATACAATTATTTCTCTTCTTTGCATTAAATATGAACTTATACTGATTCAGTGACTCAAAGAAAGAAAGAACATTTTAGATTGTAACAAAATCTAGTTATCAATATTTCTGTATTTTGCTATTATTATATTACGAGGGTGATCAAAAAGTTCGTTAACTAATTGAATTTCTTCCATAAAAGAAATAGAATTAGGTTTCAATGTTTATTATTTTTTAAAGTAAGAATAGTCCATTTGTGACAAAAGACCATATCTAGGCAATAAGATGGATGGACAACGATATCTTTTCCCAGAATGAGCATGGTGACCATCACAACCCGACTCCTTTGTCTTGGGTGCGTCGTTTATCCATTGTGGATAAAGTATGGATACCTTCTCTTTATCAAATTTGATATGTTTAAAGTCTAAAGAAAATGATACTTTGGGGATTTAATAATTTTTTGATTGTTAAGATATTCAACTATTTTTCTAACTGTAACTTGGTGATCTTTCATAACAAATCGTTCATCTAAGGGCATATCCCTAACAAAAAAATACTATAGTAAACTATAGTTAACTATAGTTTACTATAGTTAACTATAGTAAATCAAAGTTCCAAAGTTTTTACTATAGTAAATCAAAGTTCCAAAGTTTTTACTATAGTAAATCAAAGTTCCAAAGTTTTTACCATAGTAAATCAAAGTTCCAAAGTTTTCACTATAGTAAATCAAAGTTCCAAAGTTTTTACTATAGTAAATCAAAGTTCCAAAGTTTTCACTATAGTAAATCAAAGTTCCAAAGTTTTTACTATAGTAAATCAAAGTTCCAAAGTTTTCACTATAGTAAATCAAAGTTCCAAAGTTTTAACTATAGTAAATCAAAGTTCCAAAGTTTTTACTTTGGTACTATAGTTAACTATAGTAAACTATAGTTCACTATAGTTTACTATAGTATTTTTTTGTTAGGGATCTCTTTCCCTGTTTACTTTGACTGGGCACCAGAACGAACATCATTTTTTACTATCCCCCTTCCTAAACAAAATCAATCCAATTAATGATTAAATTTTTAGAAAGTCCTTTGTCTTCTTAACTTTGTACAATACGTTGAAAACGTTAAACGGCAGGTAAAGATAGTTTTGCAGGTATTGATAAATTCTGATAAAAACACAATCAATAATAATTAAGAATACCGATTTCAGTAAAATTATACGTTATTCCAGCTTTATTTTCTGTAATTTTGAGGATTCCTTCGTATATGTATCGTAAAATATTCATAATTTTTACTACAGAATAACTGATCTGCGATTTGAATAACTAACCTGGGAGCTTTGCCAGTTTGTTTGCACCATCGACGTTCACCAATTTTGTTAACTGCTTGCAAAGCTGAAAATAAACTAAATGATAATCTTTATGTCAAGCGCAGGGAACATTTTTTTGCCACTACAATCCATTGAATTAAGCCCTCTTTGTTAATTCTATCAAATTAAAGTGTGGACTTTAACAATTTGAGAATTTTCAAGCAAAAAAATTTATATAGACCACCTACATGTATATATTATGTAACTGTTGTTATTTGGGGAGGAAGAATTCCAAACAATTAATGCCAGGTTATAGATTTACCATTAAAGCAGAGAAGTGGAAGTTTCAAAATGATATTTATAGCGAGCACTAAAAGCAACATCAAGGCCAATAACAAAACTGTATCGTTTGTATTTTCAATCTTCACCTTCTCCTCTTTGTTTAAAATTTGCACTTTTCAGACTTTGCTACAGGATGCAGCTAACTTGTAAGGTCACTTAAGAAAAGACCTTTCAAGTGGAAGATTGATTGATTGATTGTATGTTGTTTAACGTCCCATTCGAGAATTTTTCACTCATATAGAGACATCACCATATACAGGTGTAGGGCTTCATATTTTGACCTTTACTCGGCGCTTACGGCCATTGAGCAGTGAGGGATCTTTATCGTGCCAACGCCTGTCGTGACACGGGACCTCGGTTTTTAAGGTCTCATCCGAAGGACCCGCAACTTTCACTTCACTGCCGAGCGCATGGCGAAGGAACAGTTGCTACCTATTTTTTATCGACTTAGGTCAGTCGCGGCCGAGATTCGAACTCACGACCTCCCGATCAAGGAGCGAGCGCTTCAAGTGGAAGAGGTGGATCTTAGTTAAAAGTGAATACACACAGATGCGCTTGAACCAATAGTCGCGCCGTCAACATATTATTTCGAGACATGAGTTGGATATAATAAAGCCTAAACTAACGGATTACATTTCATTACGATGGTTACGTAATCATGGGCTTTTAGGGGAAAAACACAATGAACTTATGCTTTTCTTGAAAAGAAATCACTTTGTACCAATTTTGTATCGGGTTTCATTTCTATCATTTGATATATATTTCACAATTTTTGTTTGAATTCGATCCTTAATTATACAATATCAGTATGTAACGAAACTTACGCAAGATGTTTAAATAAAAATTTAAAGCTTTCTTGATCGGCTGTCTCCTTTTATAAGAAAGTGTATTTACTTTTTGGTTTTTAAAATTAAGTAAATGTACAGAATGTTTCATATAATATACGTTACATTTTGAATCAAAAATTTGTCAAACACAAGAAAAAGATACAGACAAATGTTTTCATCATTTGATTAATGTATCCATTAGATTTATTGTGTACAATTACCAACTCAGATGTCAAACTCTGGCCGAGAACTTAAACTTAAATGAAAATAAGCGTCATTTTTGTTACGTTGAATTTCACTTAAAACTCACTTAATCAAAATGATTTCGGCCTATTTCAATTGCAAGGCAAAGTCTTGATTTTTTTTTATAAAGATGTCACACATTTTTGCTTAACATTCCTCATCTGAAGTTTTATATTCTTTTTGAGCACATTCAGTATCCATGGTTAGGATTTTAGACAATGTTCTTATGAATCTCTGAAGAAAAGGCATAAAGATTGAGATCTGGCGAATGCAGAGATCAAGCTCTTTCCTTAGGGTGTTCAATTTATGAGAATTTGTACATTGATAACTTCATTTCATATTTCAAAATTCAATGTACTCTGTAAATGCTGACAATGGCAGCATCAATTTCTGAAGACATCTTCCTGGCACTTTTCTGAGGAGTTTGCGAAAATCCATGGTCTCCACTTCGTCAATAAAATCTTTCGTTCTTGAAGTCCTCTTTTTGGGGGTGGGGGGGGGGATGGGGTGGGTGGGTGTCGTTTTATTTATTATTTATTGCAAGTCCCTGTCCTTTAACTATGTTAACATGTACAAGCTTTCTGACTAACATTCAAGAAAGCTCCCATTCTTTTGGAGGATTTCCCATGTGATTTATATTGAAAAGAAAAACAGCTTTACAAAATGTTTCCAAGTTTTGTCCATTTCGAAAAATATTCAAATTATGACAATGGCGTTGATGTCACAATTAAACATTGTAATACCATTATTAGTCCCCTACCGGTGAAACCGGAGGGGACTATAGGTTTCCTCTGAGTCTGTCCGTCCGTCTGTCCGTCTGTCTGTCCCACTTGGTTTTCCGCACTTTTTTCCTAAACGCTTGCAGATATTGAGCTGATTTTTGGTATGTGGCTTTACCTTGATTAGTTATAGATCAAGTTTGCATTTCGTCCCGCTTCATTAATTTTTGACGGAATTATGGCATTTTCAATTCTTAACGGGAACCAGATTACAATTGCCGATAGGGAACTAGTATTGCTAATGCAATACTCTCAGAATGCTTGTTTCCTGGATTTTTTTTCATATGGAATAAAAATGCAGGATTTGATGTTTAAAATGATATATGGTTTGTGTTAAGAAATATAATAAGTAATAAAAATAATTAGATTTAAAAATGTAACACATGTTACGGAACACCCTGTCCATGGTGTAAGCCCGTTTTCTTCAGAAAATTATTTGTACTTTGGGCTTTTGACCGGAAAACTTTAAAACTTCCACATTTTAAAGGTTCAGGCAATAAAGCAAAGTTGAATAGAACAATAAACTGTATTTAAATAATGATTGTTTACCAATCCATTTCCACCTTCTATAGAATTTTTCAGAGTCTTAGCAACCTTTCCACGAAACAGATTATATATCCATGCTCTCCCGCCGTGAAACTTGACGCTTGTGGATTGTACAGAACAGCTACATGATGAGGAACTAATGGTAGGTCGCCCAGATGAATCCATTCCTATTGATTATTAAAAGTATGTTATTAAGTTGGTATTTCACAAGTTCGGTTGCTCATACTTACATTTATGTCAAATAATGAAATTAACCTTTTATTTTGTTTGAGAAATGTAAGAAAATCTAATAAAAGCTAACCTATAATCAACCTGATCTGGAGCGAGATTCCACCAGCGTTTAAGTCGAAACTTCCATGATCAGAAATTTTAATTCTACCAAAGAAAAAAAGAACTTGATATGGATAATGCAAATCAGTCCCCGTCGCTGACAGAAAATTCTAAAATATAATTTGATCTTACATTCCCTGCTTGTATTTGTAATGGAAGTCGCCGTGAAGACCAATGCCAATTCCTGATGTTTTCCAAGAAATTCCAGAGTTTGGGATCATTGATATAACACTTGTAGGCTTTGTAAACTTAGTGATTCTCATCCTACGATATATTCAATTAATGACTTTATGATTTACAGTGTATGCATGATATTTACTTCATATATGATATTGTCATTGTAAATTAAAAAGATCTGACAATACTAGTATCATTTGTAAATTTTGAATCAGCCAGGTGGCAATAAAACAAAGTTACATAAAGACAATTTGACATACTGTGATTTTTAGGGATGGTATCGATAAACCGACTAATCGATAGGAAAGATCGTAACTGGTAACATTTTTCATAACCTGTTAATTTGTATGTTTTCGTAGTATATATATTTTGATATACAATATAATATTTCTATCTTTTAAAATTAAGATATTCACAAAACATTGACAGCTTGAAAATTTCCAGAGACAAGGAGTCTAAACAATCTTTACACTTCCTCACTCTTTTCCTCAGACCCACGGGCACTTATTTCATACAGTGTACTTTGTGAAAAAGCGCTCAGCAGGACCCCCTCCCCAGATCCCCTCTTTCAGTATTAACATGATTGCGCAAAATTCCCACAACTTTCAATTTAAATCTCGAGATTCCAGGTACATCGATATCTCTGCCATCATAACGATTTCATCAAAATAAGCACAAGTGCTGGTAACAGTGCTTGATTTTACGGCATTATTAATGTACATGTAGAAACATTTTTGTATATTCGTGATGACGTAAAATCAAGTAAAGTATGATACCAGCCCCCGTATGGAGTGTAAAACGTTGCATTATACTTTTTTTTTTATTATTTCTATTCAAAATATTTGTTATTCTAAAACATTTCATTCCTATTTGATAAATGTGATTCATATTCTTATGCGAAAAATGTAAATTGTATTCGATAATTTATCATTCCTATTCGATAAGTTGTTATTCCTATTCGAAAACGTGATTTCTATTCGATAATTTTGTTATTCGATAATTAAATGATTTATATTCAATAAACATGTTATTCTTATTGAAAAACATGTTATTCTTATTGAAAAACATATCATTCCTTTTCGAAAAAATACAATACCTATTCGAAATTATCGAATAAGATTATCGAATTGGAATCGTATGTTTTTGAATAAGAATATATTTTCGAATAGGAATAACGAGTTTATTGCATAAGTATATATAAATCCCATAATTATCAATATATTTTCAAATAGGAAAAACGAGTTTATTGCGTATATATAAATCCCATAATTATGTTCCCCAAACGAAGTTTGGGAACATATTGTTTTTACTCTGTTTCTGATTATTATTCTTCTTTATTCTTATTTCTTCTCCGGTACTTTTTTGTCCGCGAGTGTTCTCGGAAACTGCTCATCCAACTGAGTTAAAACCTTTTTAGGGTTAATAGGTATGCTGTGTAGATGTGCGGAAGGAAGGTCATTTTGCGCGCACGTGCATGCACGTGCGTGCGCGTGCAATGAGTAAAATGACCAATATACTTGATATAGCTGTAACTTTTGTATTTTTTGATGAAATGCTTTGATACTCAGAATATACGGATATATTAAAAGTGTAAACAAGATGACATTGTCAACATGCACGTGCGTACACGTATGCGCAAAACGTAAAATGACCAATTCACTTGATATAGTCGTAATTTTTATACTTTTTTATGAAATGCTTTGATACTCAAAATATTTACATGTACATGTATATACATGTATATTAGAAGTGTAGACAAGATGACATTGTCATCATGTACATGCATGCATATGCATGCACGTGCGCGCGCATGTAATGTGTTAAATGACCAATATACTTAGTATAACCGTAATTTTTATATTTTTTTTATGAAAAGCTTTGATATTAAGGATATACAGATATATTAAAAGTGTAGACAAGATGATGTGGACATCATGCACATGCGCGCGCGTGCAATGTGTTAAATGACCAATATAATTAATATAGCCGTAACTTTTATATTTTTTATGAAAAGCTTTGATACTAAGAATAAACAGACATATTATAAGTGTAGACAAGATGGCATGGTTATTATGAACATGAATGCAGGTGCGCGTGCGTGCAATGCTAAGAAGACCAATATACTTGATATAGCCGGAACATATATATTTTTTGATGAAATGTTTTGATACTGAGAATATAAAGATGCATTAATAGTATAATGGGATGACATGGTCATCCTGCATATGCATGCATGTGCGCGCGCGTGAAATGCAAAAAACGACCAATATACTTCATTACCTTATTTGATGAAGCTTACAGGAAGTAAGACACCAAAAGGGAGTTGGGGAGCGTTTGGGGAACATCTGTAACGGTCCCCGTTACAATTATAACTAGTTACTTAATAAGATTGACAAAATTATCGAAAACGAATGACAAAATTATCGGATAGGAATCACATGTTTTCGAATATGAATGATATATTTTGGAATAGGAATAATATTACTTCCAATTTGAATAACAATTTGTCGAATAAAAATGACAAACTATCGAATAGGAAACGCATTTTATCGATTAGAAATAACAACTTATCGAAGAGGAATCACATTTTATCAAATAGGAATGATATGTTTTAGAATAAGAATAATAAATTCTTTGAATAAGAATAACAAAAAGGTATAATAATGCAACGTTTTACACGCAATACCCCTGTGAGAGTATATTGGAATTAATATGTCGGTGAAAAAAAAAGTTTGACTCTGATTGCAATAAATTGCGAAATACATGTCAACATTCGAGTTAATTTCCTTTTTTACTTTGTTTAAATGTAACGATTCCAATTATCGTAGTTTAGCTTTTTCTTTTTATAATTATTATTTTACAAATTCCTCTTTAAAGATAAATAATAAAAATCCAGTTATTCGGCCGAAAAAAAATTACGACCGTCATGCACGTCACCAATCGGCTAAAAAAAATATTCGATTACCATCCCTCGTAAATTTTGTATTCACAGCTACCCCGTTTATCCAAGTTGACTAAACCTTTAGCTGTGAAAAATGGACAGACGTGATAGGATTGTTGTAATAAAAGACCAGTGTCTTATCTAACCAACCTGATGTCTGTCAATTGTACATTATATTTATTTTGAATCTCATGAAAAATGTTTGTAATCTAATGAATAATGTTTGTAAATAACACCGGTTTGTCGGGTCAATTTCCCACGACAAGAATAATCAAATCATTGACAAATTTAATTTGTCTGAAATAATCTTTAAGAGCTTTTTGAAATACTTTAACCAACAACTTTTTGTAATATCGATAATTTACTCTCTAAATATAATGTATTTTAAAAAGACACACACAAACACACGATGAAGTTAAATCAAAACCGGAAGAAAAGGAAGTAAATACAATAATGAGGAAGAATAATTTTTTTTCCTTGTCACAAATGTTAAGATTAAAATAGAGTGATCATATAACATAATGATTAAAATGTTGACTGACTTGGTCACATCATAGGAGACATGCCCAGATTTTCCATGCTGGTCTGGAATCTGCTTTCTCGTTAAATCTTTGGACAGCGCATCTAAAGCAACGTTAACCGCTGCAGAATGAAAATTTATAGAAACATTATGAATAATTCAAACTCCTCAATTTATTCAAAGCTCATTGTTATCATAGATTATATAATGTAAAAGTGTTAACGATTTTTTACTCCGTTTTTTCCTTTTATTTCAATTAAGAAAAAAAAAAGAACTTGTTTTCCCAAGTATAATTTTTAAGGTTAAAGGAAGAAAATTTTAAATCTTGATCTGATATTTTCTATCATTATGATATCCAATCAAAGTAATCGCTTTAAATCTTTAGTAAATTGCCTTTTTAATTATTTTAAAGTATACTGCCGCTTTTTTAAAGGTTAAGTACATTATCTCAAATTTCGAATTAATTTTTTCTCCAATTATGAGAACAAAGTATAAGTACATTCACTGTGTTATTTTTTGTGAATTGCCCTTAAACATAAATTAATTAAGTACATCCAATAACATGTACATGTAATAATTAAGTACATCCAATATACATGTATATGCATACAGTGTCATGTAGTTCTTTAACTGAAATTGAGTGCATGGATTACACGTTTACATGTACTTTATATTTAAGGGCAATAACAAAGACATTACACAGTAAATGTACTTATACTTTGTTATCATAAGTTTATTTTCTCAAACTTAAAAAAAATAAGGACATTAATTACCATAGTTGAGTCCTTTTGATGTTATTCTTGATTTCAAACCAGGAGATTTACCATACGTTCCATTCGTCATGAACATGACCATGACCAGAATAAAAATCTCCAATGAAGCCATTACTATTAAACTCTCTCCAATACTAAAGGCAAATGAATTAAAATGCTTTATACAATTGCAAAGATAGTGGCATGTTCTTATCTTAGAATGTGACGATATAGAAAACTTTTAAAGCATTTTTCATTAAATTAGTTTACAAATAAGAACTATCAAAACACTTATCAATTAAATGACTGAGTAATTCATACATAATCCATTATCGAAAAAAAATGATATGAATGAAATACTTTTTATACTAACCCAACAATCCAGAACAATACGATGTTTTCAGATTTAAGTGAATCAATAATACGCACTACTTCATATACAAAATCTGATTATACTTCCTCATTTATTTCTTCCGGGATAGTCATTCATGTGATTTTAACAATGTTCCCATAAGCACATCATTTTAAAACAAAATGTTTGTATATATGGAAGGGAATTACCGCCAAAAGTCTATTTATCTTGCTTTTATTCTTATTCTGTCTACTTCTTTATTCTTTGTTATTATTGTAACTATATGTCACTTTATTGTTCATATTCGTCTTTATTACATTTCACTTTGAACTTTTTTCATTCTTCATTTTGTCGTTACTTCTATGTTGCTTTATTCTTGTAAATTCGTTCTTCTTTCTTTAAAATTGATACAGTTTCTTTAATAAATAATTATGATCATCTCTATCACAAATGTAAATTCAGTCAAGCAAACCATGAAGCGCATTCAACGAAGACGAATACAAGTAGTGTGAATTTAATGCGGCTTTATAACGCTAGGTGGCAGGGTGTTCGCTGCGAGTGTTGGTAAAATTAGGTACGCAAACCCGGGCCGAGGTTATTCGAGATTTTTCAATTTTCTGCCTTAATACTTTATCAATCGAACCCAAATTTTCAAGTTATGTTAGTTATAGGTTTATTTGTATACGTGGTAAAATTGCCCTAAAATGTTAAATATTTTAGACTTTCTCAAAGATTTTTGCTTTCCAAGTTGGTAAAATGGGAAGGCAGTATCAAGCTGACATTTTCAGTGGGTTTTATCCTTTTTTTTTTTTTTTTTTTTGGACAAAAAGCTAATAAATTTATAAATTATTCTGATGTAATAGCCATTCTCTGTAACCACTTAAACTTTTGTGGCACGCATAGTCACAGATTTTTTTCAAATTTGGCTAGAATTTACCACCTCATAAACTACTCCAAAAAATATTGTTAGATCATATGAATGTTGAGTAGTTACCATGGAAACGGTGTCTAAAGTTGATTTTTTCTGATCAAATGCAATTTTTGGGAATGTTATTCAATGAAATGCGGCTACTTCAATTCATGTTACTCATAGAAATAAAAAGTATGACTTCCGATTTTAAAAGTCATTTAAAAACATTGTTGGTATTCAGTCTATAAATATGAGAAATCTATGATTAAAATAGCAGAAATTCATTTAAAAATTGAATTATCTCCCTTTGATAATTGTGAGCTCTTTAGTGTGAGAGATAAAAAAAATAATTGGACAAAACTGACTGGAAGTTGTTTACATTGACAACATATATCCTGGATTTCAAGTAAAATCAAGTGGTGTTTTTCTGTTCTGTTTATTTAATGTGCATACAAATTTTAACCTCTTTGTTTATTTCCTGGATGCAAAAGAGTAATTTTTATGCGTGAACAATGGGGACATGTACAAGTCCACATGGTACAAGAAATCAGCTCTGTGCACATTCATGATATTGAAGCCTAAGCCTCAAGCAAAGGACCATCCCCCCCCCCCCATATTCAACCCCGAGGATTGTGGGACAATTTTTGGTCACAAATTATATTTATTGCACTTATTCATCATGTGTACCATAGGAAAAAATCGTGAAAACCCCAAAATAATCGTTCCACACAAAAATACCCTACTATATACATTATAAGAGAGAAAGGTATGCCACTCCGGTTTGTTTACGTTGTACCCCCACTGGTCTTTCTGGGTTTAAAAACATGTATTTATTTTATTTTAGCCTAAAATGTCGGTTCACACTGTCTCTACATATATTTCTGTCTTAGTTCATGCTATCGGATTGACTCTGCATCTCGTAAGAATCCCACAATTTATCCTTAAACAGCATTGCAGTCAGTACGTTGAAAAATCCTTAGGTAAACGCAACGGAAGTACACCAAGAATGTATCACTTAATACGATAACGTCCGAGAGAGTTTTGGCTTGACGTAATAATCTCTCTCGGGTGTTATCATAGCAGGTAATATATTCTCTAAGCACTTCCAAGACAGAAAGACAGACTGATGGACGGTCAGACAGACCCAAATCAATATCCTCCACTTCCAGTGAAAGCGGGGGACAAAAAGGCAATTTTTATATACCATTGTGACCATGAACTTTGACCTTCTGTCCGTATTTACCAATTCATGTGATGCCACATGTAGTTATTGTCCACCAGAACTGTAATTTCGTTTATTCATGCTGTTTAAAACAAAAGTATTAGTTAGGACACAGAAAAAATGTGCTTAGTTTCCTTAAATTTCCATCTAAATCGAGCTATTTTGACCTTGACCTTTGACCTTTTGTCATGAAATTGATTTTTCTCTTTGTTTTTGCTATTGTGTACCACATAGCTAAATTTGGTTTTAATCCATTTTAAAATACTCAGGTATTTATATAGAAACTGATTGTAGATACCTATTGCCCCTGTCTGGAATTTTTTAAAAAAGCTTAAGTTTGTAACCATGGTAACATGAAAACAAAATTTGAATACCAAGTGTTTCTCTGCAGTTTATATTAGAACTATATATGGACTTTCAAACCAATGTATTTATTTTTTCCAAAATGTCCGCAAAATTTTATACCAGACCTTTCAAAAGAGCCTAAAATCTACAATTTTTCCTCAGAAAAATCCGGTCTAAAAACGGGCGATATTTTTTCTATTACGTAAAGTTACTCAAATACTAGAAATTGTCTAAAGAACTACAAAAATGATGTATTTTGGCAAAAAGATGAAGTCACTTTAATATCTTGTTGTATTAAGGACTTTTTATTTGTCAAAAATGGTCATTTTTCATCAAAATTTAGCATTTTTTAGGCCATGAAAAATGTATGTTGGTTGCCATGGTAACCATTGACCATAGCAACCATTTTATTATGAATTTTAGTTTCATACATTGATATAGGAATGTGTGCCAAGTTTTATACAAATCTAAGACATAGCGTGCCACACTCCCTATATAAGAGCTTAAGTGCTTACAGAGAATGGCTATAAAACATTATATTTTAACTATTTATAAGCATTTCTTCTTTCAAATGTGCTTTTGTTGCTTTAAATTAAACGTTTTAAGAAAATCTAGGTCATTAAAATGATGAAAACTCCAAAATAAAATTAATTGTGTATTTTCTGTCACCTGAAAAATATAACTCTATTCAAGTTATTTGCTGGATGATTGAATTTCAATTTTATTGATATAAAAAATATTAAATATTTTGATAATTATTAGTATACCCAAATTACCCGTATAAATTGAGTTGTTTTTCAGGACCCCTATATATTCTTCCACGGAACTGACATTTCTTTCTTTTAGGATAATTACTGATCATGCGCAGTCGCCTGATTCTGGGGACCGGGGCTAGTCTGGTTTCGGCCAACCCATAATGCTCTGCAAAGCAGTGTGGAACGTCATGGGTAGGCGTGGCTGGAACCAGGCTAGACCGGGGCATACTAGAAACTTCCCCCGGTTTTTATGAAAATATGTATTAATTTTTTGTATAGAAATAGCACTTTTCAATAAAGAAATAAATATTTCTAGTAAGCACACAGTGTTTGACATCAGAATAACTAAAAAAATTATTTTGTCGGTGTCTCGTTTGGCAAAAAGTACGTAAAATGTCGGCTTGATATCGCCTACCCATCTTAGCAAATTGGAAATCAAAAATCGCCAAAAATAATCTAAAATATTGAAATTTTCAAAATAAAAATACATGAATATAAATATTGTCAATTTTTACAGCGAATACAGATAAAACTTAGAGACGTTGCATTGTTTTTGAAAGGGGCAGCCAGAGAGAAAAAAATAACTTACCTAAAAATCTTGACAAGCAAAAAAAAAAAAAAAAAAAAAAAAAAACCATAAAAGAGGAAACTTTCAAACTCGAAAATTCTAGGGGGGGGGGGGGGGGTCCAACTTCTTTCAGTACCAAATTTTACTCATACATCACTACGTACATGGCCCTTATTTAACTAAACTGCAACAAAAAGAGGGAGGGGGGGGGGGGTAACCAGACTTTCACTGAACATTTTCAGTAGTAAAAAGTTATGGCTAGAAAAATGTTTGTTGGCCAACCCCCCCCCCCCCCCCCACCGCTACCGGTGTCATATAGTGAAACTTCCCCCATAGTGAGTCCTCCCCCCGGAAATCTGGCTATATAGTGAGACTTCCCCTCCGGGGGGGGGGGGCAATGACTATATAGCGAGCCTTCCGCTCTAAACGACCATAGTGAGACTTCCCCTTCCGTGTTTGGTTTGGCTTTTATTTACATCGACGATGTATATATTGCATATTTAGGTAATGTTCTTATATATAATAAAAAGTTAAGTTTCAAATGAATCAATATGAAAGAGCGCATTAAAAATCTATCGTGCACAGCAGATTACTGTATTGTTCCGAGACGATCCTTATCAAACGAAAAAAGTAATAATTAGTTTAACAGTAAAAAGGTCATACCCCGTAGAAACGTGCAGTTTACCTATGTTTACCTGCATGGTTAAGATGTTTTAATTATAAAAATCACTATTAAAATGTTTTAATTATTTATTCATATATTTATTTATTCATTGATATAGGACGGAGAACTTTTATCCAAACACTGAAAACGTTATTAAAAACATTGTTTTACAATAAAAAAAATATTCGGAAACTAAATTAAAGGGGAAAGTTTTGCTATGAAGGGGGAAGACTGACTAAATATGAGACTTTCCCCCGGAAGACTGGCTATAATAGTGAGACTTACCCTGGAGAAGTCTCACTATATAGCTGGGGGAGTGCTTACTATCTAGCCAGCCTTCAGGGGGAACGACACCGGGTATATGCCTGAACCTATAACATACATCATTTGAACATTTGGGTTCGACTGATAAAGTATTAAGGCAGAAAACTGAAAAATCACAAATAACCCCGGCCCAGGTTTGCGTACATGTACCTAATTTTACCAACACTTGCAGCAAACACCCTGCCACCTAGCGTTATAATGCCGCATTAAATTCACACTACTTGTATTCGTCTTCGTTGAATGCGCTTCATGGTTTGCTTGACTGAATTTACATTTGTGATAGAGATGATCATAATTATT